GTTTGAAAAGTATTTCACCGTGTGATACTGCTGTTACTGCTGTACTCAGTCTGTTTTCGCGACACGGACGCATTTATAGAGGGAAAAGAAGAAGGAGAATGAAAAAAAAACAGGGATATAAATAAACTAAAAAAAACCCGGTTACTAGGAGTGGGGGCAAAAAGAACATTGCGTGCGTGTCGGTAAAGGATATATAAAGGAATATCGACTGGGTAACGGGTCTATATATATGTATAAATAGAATACCGCCGACGAAGCCTATTTGGTATACTTTTCTTATCTGAAATCTTATTCGGGTGCGGAATGTCATTTTCTATATATATATATATATATATATATAATAATAATAATAATAATATAATCTTAAGACTGGTCAATCAGAGTGGAGCCGAGAGCGTGATTGTGCGCAAGGCCAACGCGATGACGTAGGGGTGAGTCATTTATTTTAAACCGTTTATGTCGCGCGTGGGAGAAGAAAATGTGATTTATACGCATGCGGTGTGTTTCGAGTGAAATCGCGTGATAGAAAAGCGAGTAGCAGCCATGTGTGTGTGTGTGTTGAATGTGATGGAAATTCTCGAACAAAAGTCATCGCCTCATCGAAATGTATGTGTATAACGAAAGTTAAAATCGTTGCCTTTATTTTTTTTCTATTTTCATTTTTCCTACTTTCTTTTTTTTAATCAGCTTATAATTCCATACGAATTTCCCTGCACGCTATGCGCCCTTCACTATATCCTTTTCACAGCCAGTATTTCGTTCACCTTTACGAGCGCCCCAAAGTATTACGTTATTATTATTACTTGTATTATTTTTTTCGCCGTAGCGACGGGACAACGAACTAATTCCTAAACGCAACGTTCCTAAATCCTCTTGTAACTATGTGTAAATATATCTATGTATATATGTATTATTCACATACGTATACGTATGCGAACACGCTTTTATCTTGCCCACACCATTCTCTTCCACAGTGTTCACCATTTGGTTCCACTTATGTAACTACTCTTCCCGAAAATACATACTAAGGAAGCTCCAAAGGCCCACCACGAAATGTTTTTATACCTGCCTAAAGATTGAATTCCTATACAATGAATATATAAACATAACACTGTTTATTTAATATGGTAATTAAAAATAAAATATTTTAATATTTTAATATTTATATGTTTATAATTTTAATATTTAATAATAAAATGTTTTTTTTTTTTATCTAAAAAGTATAAAAATTGTATAAATAAATTTATGACTATAAAGGGTTCTTCTGTGGGAAAATGATTTAGTTATTCAGATCTTTCCCAATCAAAATGTTGTCTACACACCTATGATCATCGTTTCAACCACTGAGAAAGCATACGAGAATATTGTAATGTATAAAATAATACGACTTCTGCCTATCCCCTTTCCGTGTTCACCGGTCTATACTGCAATGTTACAAATGTCATTGATTGCAACAACAATGTGTACAACACTCATGTATTCAAGGCGCATTCAGTTAAAAAACGTGTACCCGCCCTCGTATACGGCTAATATTTTTTACATCGATGTGTATATACCGTACTATATTATTTAGCTGTTAACGTTCGCTAAATAATGTGAATGTTGACATTCTGAACCGGTAAATGTTATCCCGATATGGATGGCTTAATTTGATGAATGTTAACGATTCAGATGTCTTTATAATAACGATTAAGTCGAACGTTAATATGCGTACATAGAATATCTTAGCAGATGTTGGTTTTAACAATGAAGATACAAGATTAACTAGACGAATTATCGGATTATGCCATAGATATACTATTTAAGATTAAAGCAATATTATTTATATTATTTCAATGAAAAAAGCTAAATCATAAAAAAGGATGTCGTCGTATGTTTTTCAAAGTGATATTTAATTATACTGTATTAATTAAATTAAGATATATCCCAACCGATAAATGGTATTTTAATTTTGTATATTTGGATATATACTTATGTACATAGTTTTGTGTGTTACGTTTCCGTGATTTGTACGGAGTGGCGTAGGAAGACTCTCTAGTGTCCTTGGCAAACTTTTTAACGAATTAAAATTGAATGTTATATTTTTTTTAGCCTTTTATTTTACTATTTTTTTAAGTCTACAATTTATATTTATAAGTTATTATAGTGCTCATTTTAAACTTAGAAAATTTTTGCTTTTCTCGCTTTATGACTGGTAAATTCACCTATAATTCCTTCATATAAATTTTTTATTTAAATGCCCTTGTGCTATTTTCATAATTTCATCACATACACATAGTGTGTAGAAATAGACAACATCTACGTATTTCAAAAAGTATAATGGAAACATTTTGACTGTAAGATAAAAATACAACTTTTGCACAATGTTGCGCCCTCTTTCAATGTGGGCCTCTGGTGTAGGCACAGCTCACTATACCCTTGCTACGCTACTGTTTGTACATTTAAAATACATAAAAATAAAAACATTCACCAATAGCACTGCAGACTACGCACATTAAAATGGTCTTGAGGAGAGCCAATGTAGCGTCTATATATCATTACATCAACATTAACGAGTAATGTAACAAGTATGCATCATTTATTTATCCGAAATCCATCAATAGGTCCCAGATTTCAAAGCAAAGTGCATATTTTTTTGGTTAATCATACACAATGCTCTCTACGAACATAGTTCGTTTCATATAACGAGGGTTTCAAAACTACAGATTTTATTTTATGCATATTTCGACGTTTTTTCATTTTTAGAGCATTTTTAGTATTATTGGGTCATTTTGTTGGTTTTTAATGCATATTTGTTCGATTTACTAAACAAATTTAGCCTTTACAAAATAAAATCAAAAGAAATTATTTTCTTAATATTTAAGTAGGTTTATCGGGTTTTTACACATTGTCAATCTTTCATCAATCGTCAATTGTTTCATTTATTTCATAAATTGTCAATCTATTTTTCGATTCAGTTTTTATCTTATCTTAATTTATTATTGACTATGGAACGTCACCAGTATTCAATCAAATAACAAATAATGAGCTAGTTCGTATTACCTCGCAGATGTTGCTCGTATTCTGTATGTTTGTGATTTTAATGTACTAAATAGTGTGTTAAATAATGCCCAAAATAATAAAAAAATCATGTCATTTTTTCATTTTTAAGGTAATTTTTGTAGTAAAATGCATTTTTTAAGGACATTGTTGGCTATTTTTTAGAGCATATTTGTATGGTTTTAAGTGCATTTAAATCCGGGCCCTAATCATCAACAATATCTGTGCACGTTTTCACATATATTTGTATGTATATGCGAATATCGGTTTATTTTAACCTTTTTTAAACACTGTAAATTTTTTTTCGATAGTACGTAAGTATGGTGTTTTGCGTACGTTTTATATAAATTTCTATAATTTTTTATTTATTTTTTATTTCATTTTCGAAGCGCACGCGCCCAAGAGAGAGCAGAATCAATGCCTCGTCAAGTGTTGCAGTCAGGCGCGTTTCTATTTACGTCATCGTCAATTATTGAATGGTTATTGTTCACCGATATACACATACATTATATAGAAGACGGAATAGTAAATCGCGTTGGTTTATTATTATTTTTTTTTTTGAATTTTCCTCTCAAAGTTTGTTCGACTATGATTCTACGAAGAGCTCCAAATTGTACTGCGGTACAATAAAAATTATAGCTTCTATTACGGTGATTATTTTTGTTGGTTTCTTACTGCCGTTTATTAATCAGTCGTGCGGTGATAAAATATTATACACGCCTTACAGAATCAGCTCCACCTACTATATTACTGCTGCTGCTGCTGCTATAGAAATCGCATTAAAAATTGTTTTATACCTACGATGACGACATTATATCGTACTGTAATGAAATATAGAGTTAATTAGGATTAGCAATGTCGCGTGTAATGAAAATAGTGACGCGACCTCGTAAATCATTCTACCGGATAAAATCGATATAACTGTGTGTGTGTGTGTGTGTTCATTATATTCGAACATATATACGTGTTAAAGTCCTAGAGTACCTATATATATATGATCTTTAAAGAATCGTTTCATGTTTGATGTGCTCGACATTTGTTTTACCTCGTGTATCTTAGGTCAACAACCAGTGGCGTAGCCAAGATTTTTAAATGGGGGGGGGGCTAACCACTTTTTTGGATAAGTAAGGTAAGAGAGGATATGAGAATTCACCCTTAACCCCTCCCCCACCATTTACCACCAAGTTTCTAAACGTAATTCAAACATTTTAGTATAGTTTTAAAAATATTTATTAATATATAATTTATATTAATAATAATAATTTTGGTTTCAGTGTTCAGTCACTTGCTCTACTCTGACAGCTGCATCCTCTTAGGTGAATTTCTGGCAAATTCAGTTATTATTTCACTTTCATCGAATTACTCTTTTTTATTTATATTAGCCATAGCTAACCCATTCAGTCTGTTTTCCGACATGGTGCTTCTTAAAAAAAATTTTAAGCGATTAAGTGCTGAAAACGTTCTTTCCGGAGTGAAAGAGGTAACTGGTAACGTGGTGAATAATTGTAAAAGTATTTTAATGTTAGGTTGAAAATTGGTGCGATGAGAGAGTGAATCAAGAGCAGAATTCGGTTTTGGAATAGTATTTTGACTCCATTGTTGCCTCCATATGAACAGGTCAGCTCTGATTGTAGATGATGTATCATCATGGAGATATTGGACATATATTTTAGTAGGTTTTATAATATTTTTATCGTCATTCATATTTAAATTGGCCGGAATAAGTCCTTCAAGTGGCATAACATCAATAAGCCTTTGATTAAAACGAGCATCCATTGATTTTATTAAATAGTCAAGATACATTATACATATAAACACGGCCCATGGGGGGAGGGCTATAGCCCCCTTAGCCCCCCCCCTTGGCTACGCCACTGTCAACAACGGTATTATACCGTATCTTAATTACTCCGTGGTGTATATTGTTATATTTAATAGAACTAACACACGGTTTTTGTTTGTAGAAATATTGGAATTCGATACGCCCGCCGAACAAACCACGGACGAGTACACGGACTATTTCATCACGTGTAAAGTGAAGGGGAACGCCAACCCCACATTTATGTGGACGCACAACGATCAGACTTTTAAAGAAAAAACTATTAGTAAGTTTAACCTATACATTCATCTTTTGATGATATATAATAAAACTTCTACCTTTATACTGGCATTGTAATATCTCAATGGTGGAAATGTTTTCATATTATACAATGTATCTATTGGAATGATGCACCAAAGGATTACTTATGCATTTCAATCATCCGATACTGAATATTTATTCATACCACACTGTCTTAAATTACACAAAAATTATATTTGCTAATAGAGGATTATAATTATTCTACACTAAAACGTGTCTCATACATATTAGTGTGACATAATATATAATCATACATATTTAATTAGCGTTAGTTATGCAGGATAACGTAGTACTATTATAACATAAACGTATAACTTATTCGATACATGTATATATATATATGTAGGTACAGATATATTTGATTTGGTTTAAACTTGATTGTTAAAGTTGAAAAATATATTTTATACAAAAAGTGATGTGCTCAAAGAAATTAATCATATATTTAATTATATCTACTTGACACTAATAAAGAAAAAAATGTCAAATTGAATGTATAAACTGTATCCGTGTACGTATTATGTATTCTTATAACACTAAAATAAATTTATTATATTTGAGTTGTTAAATAGATATAAATCAAATTTAGAAGGAATTGTTTTAATTACTTTTAGAGTACCTAGTGACAAAGTTCAAGCAATTATAGGGGAAAAAATAATATTTTTTTTCGAGAAATTCGATTAAATAAATTATATTGAATTTGTTTTTTACATTAACTCAACTGGTAATTACCTACCTGGGATTACTACCTGGAAATAAATTACAATGCATATTTAAGTGCACGTTTGATTATTCTACAATATTATACGATTACTGGGTAATAATTAAATTAATAACTATTATTCATCCTATATTTTATTATCACATCATTGAATAACGAAATATGTTCCTATACAAACTTTAACTTTGTTATGTATATTATAAGCGAAAGCAATTTACTGTCAAACGTTAGAAATACTATATAATTTTTTATTATCAATGTTCGCAGGTGGAAAGTATTCGGTCCAAGAGGGTGGTTTGTTGGTACGAAATGTGACGTACTTGGATGCAGGTAAATACACGTGCAGAGCATTCGAGACCACTAGCAAGTCGAGTGTTTCCGGTAGCACAGAGATCAATTTGAAAGTCCGACGTGAGTATATATTTTAATGTGTTTATTCTAACGTTATAACTAGGTACATGAATGTCTGAGGGATGTATGTATGTAAAAGAGAGATAGATAGAGATTAGGTGAGAGAGAAAGTGAGAGAGGGGGGGAAAGAGAAAACTAGGGATTGTTAATAAAACAATAGTTTTAGAAAATAATCGTTGAATACTGTAGTCGACGTTTTGTTAGATTGTGCGAAATATTTTATTTCGATCTGAATCCGACAGCAAATTTAATAATAACGATTATAGGTGCATGTCATTTGTCATATTATTTGTATGTTATTTTACTATAAAAACATTATACATGTAATGTTATGTATTATGTGTATATCGATATAGCGCAATGTATAAACACTATAACCATATTTATAGTATTATGTACAACGAAATGTACAAGAATTACATCAACAAAATTAAGTGTATTTTTTTTTCGCGGTCAGTTTTCTTTTATTTTCGTACTGCAATGGCAGATAATAAAATATTAATATTAGTCATACCGTGAAAATATATGCGAATAGATAAGCATGTACCACATAATGATCCATCAGTGTACGAAATAATATAGTATGAATATACTACCTTAAACGCATGAACCCGAAATACGCCATCGTAAACAGAAACACAGTATTATTAATTCTCGAACAATATAATACAATTTTATTTTATTTTTATTTTTATGTATTATATTTAAGGCTCGGATTTTCATACAAAAAATATTGTTGAATATTTCAATGAACGTTTGCCTATCAATGGGCCTTAGCGATGACAATTAGTGCTTTTAACTTTTACAAGAGTAAAACACGGTATAAAATGATGATAAAAAAGAAAAGAAAATGTATGCATCAAAATGCCATTACGATGTTTTTCATTAATTCATATAAATTTTATTATGTATAAAATATGCATATTTTGTGCAATTATATAGAAATATGTAATTTACGGAAATTTTTGCTCAAATATGCAAAATATGTAAGAATACAAATGAACCGTAAGAATCTGCACATTACGAAACATCGTCATTTGTTTATTTTTTTATTTATTTTTATTTCATCATAAACGATGATATTAACATATACATATTGATAATGACCGTAAGGCAAACAGTTCAGATAATAAAATACAAAATAACAAAAAACATAATACAAAATAGTACAAAATAAGAAAAAGTATTATTCTAAGTATATTGTTAAATAATAACATTTGCATAAAACATGGACCTTAGTTATGTACAACCTATATTATTTGATACAATAAGAACATTGACTATAAGTGACAATTTAGAAGTAAAAAAAAAGTGTATTTTTTCTTTATGAAAGAAGCCCCAGCGAAAACATTTATTAATTAATTTATAATTATTAACGCAATTATATTACCTATGGATGCATGAACCCAAAATACGCTATCGTATTCGTAACTAAGGTACTTCTTGTCAATGTTTTCATCTTTAATTTTTTTTTAACCTGTTTACTTGTCCTTTTGTATTTTTAATTTTTTTTTTTTTTTTTGATTTATCAAGTTCCTGCATTTTGTTCTCAAATAGATACACATCGTGGTATTATAATTGAAAAATAATTTTAAAAACTACCGACGAAATTTCAAGGAAAATACGTTTTTACGTCCTGATTCCTGTGGTATAGGATAAGGTTTAATATTACTGAATCAGCTTTTTTCGTCTACGGAATACACTTTCATCCAAAATCCGAAGCGGACACTATAGCAAACAATTATTTTTACTACTCAGTAAAGTATGGCTGTGGATGAAATTTGCATTTTTTTTTTTTTATTATTTTTAGTCTTAAAAAATGAAACAGTTTGTTCCATATCAAAATGTTTCGTGTTTATTATGACGTCTCTCGCCTGTTTTGAGTAAGACGAAACTACTACCTGACATATGTCGTACGCTTTAAAGGTTACATGTGCCAAATTATAATGACAATCACAAATGTTGGGGTACGTTTGTTCATACAATACATTTTCTAATGGTTTGCTACTGTTCTCCAATCCAATTTATATCAAAATATATTAGCGTTTGTAACGGATAATATATTACGACCGGAATCTTGTGTAACGTACACTAGTGCGCATATCATTTAACTACAATAGTAGTCAAAATACGTAACAATCACCAGTGCCGACAACCCTATCTTATGGAATGGGTTAACAAAGTATGCATTTTTTTTACATTTATATTTGAAATTTCAATTTAATTTAAAATGCTTATCAATAATTTCTTATTAAAAAAAACTGTTTCTCCTATCCAATATCATGGTTGTATTTATAATGTTACTTATGAATTTGGTTTTTACATATTTAATATATACGTAGATTTAGGTATATAATAAATATACCATTAATAACAATTTGTTAAATTATGGAAGTATCATGAAAGAATTAGTAATGTAATGTATATTCGAATAATTGAATTATTCGAATATCAATATTCGATGCTACGATACCTCATTTGTTATATCCGTTTTTCCATGACAAAGTTTTTATACTATTTATTATTTGTAAGTAATCCATATCTACACAACTAAAAATAATGTACGTCAACGATTAATCGACCTAAATACGAAAATAGTTCTTATCTTGCAGGTACCTGTTCGTAGTTGGCTTTATTTTACTCTTTATAGCCGATAACTCGTAATAACCATACTCGTTATAGACGTATATTTTAACATACATTCATATTTGCCGTGCCGAGACCTAACGTTTTGCTTGTTGTAAGCAGTATCTCGTTCTAAGCGATGCTCGCTATAGTGATTTACAGTTTATACTGTACTAGCTGACCCGACAAACGTTGTGTTGTCATATAAATTATTTCTTGAGAATATTTTGCTAGAAAAAATAACTAATTTAATATAAGTGTGTAAGGATGTAGTATATAAGTGGAAGAAGTATGGAGTGCTGTGAACGGTGACGAAATAGAAAAATTAAAAAACATCAAACATTTATTTTTTTAATAATTTATTAAAATTGACCCTTAAAAATTATATATATTGCTAATCATAACAATATTAGTAAAAACCAATATCAATCCCTTAATGCAACAGAGTGTACATTATTTTTTACTATCCCATTTTTCGCCAACATAAACTGGAGCACGCCACGTATAATTATCCGTGTGAAAAACACGATGTGCTCAAATCTAAGCCACAGACAGACATCGTTTGGCCTTGAGACTTATTGATAGTCATTGCAAATCCCAATCTAATTGGAAATTAAAGGCATTTAAATTGTATTGGCACATCTGTAGGTAAAATAGGGATTCGCGGTAATAATATATTTTCACCTCGGAATTTGCCGTTTAAAATGATTGCTTCGATAACATTTTTTATTAATTTTTTAATGACTAATCGCGTGCCGTAGCACAACCGTGGTGTGTTTAAATTATGAACTAAAATAACCGTATGTCCAACCTTCAATTGTAAATTATGCGATGGCTTGCCTGGTAAATCCAATGAGTTTAAAAAATCTGTTAAATAATTTACAGCTTCAGTAGCATCGCAAACTGTATCAGTAGATTTGTATGACACCAAGTCTCCTGGTAAAAAATGTTGTATTTTAAGATTCAATTCGTTGATGCACAGTGGGAGGAATTGCATTTCTAGCTGGCAAAAATAGAAAATTTAGATATGGTGATTAACGATTACGTCCAGAAATATTTGTTGCCACTGATATGACGATGGCAAATATATCACATTATGTAATAATTGTTAATTAATGAACTGATAGGAGTAGGTAAAGTACTGAAAGATTATTGAATTTAGCGTATCATATGGTAATCGCTTGTTATTCACGCAGTTTTCATTTTAGTTTGTCCATTGTCGTTATTTCATAAGTAAAAATCTAATTGTTTTTTGCTAAATCAAAAATAGATTAACCAATAGAAATAATTAAGTTACATTTGTTCTAAGTATTATTTATTAATTAAAATGTCGTAATAAAAATTCATAGATATCATGAATTTAAAGAAATTCAAATTTATTTAATTTTCATTTTGTAGACATTTTTTTTAGAGACTCTTAGAGGTGTGAATTTTTTTTTAGTTTAAGCTTATATATATATATATATATATAAATATATATATATACACTTTGAAATATGACATTTATAAGTTGCCCCAATTTGCTCCTTATTGAAATAAATATATTTTTCTAGATGAAAGAAGCAACGTGAAAAATCGCTGTTTATTTGAAGTTTTGAAAAATAAAGTTTTTGCATCATGTACTTATGAATCACGAAACGCAATGATTACTTACAAAACTCATAGGCTGGGAGAAAAGTGGGAGTTTAGAAGGCAATAAGAAATTTGATTTATGTATTAAAAAAAGTTGAAGAATTTAGTAGTAAGTTAAATAAGAAATAGTAAGACTCAAATCACTTTTTGACTAAATTTTTTTAAAAAAAATGATGTGGTTGGATTTAGAATTTAAAATTCTTTTATTGAAGAAATGTAAAGAATTATATGAACCTTTTACAAGTTCTGATAGGCCACGTTAATCTTTTTTAGAGTCAAGTAATCGTTCTAAGCGCAGACAAATAAAAAACTTGAGAGAAATAACTTCATCATATAAATGAATCTGTGCAGTAAAATTGACATTGTATGTTTAGAAAAACGTGCTGCATTCGATCTTGTTTCCCACGCAACCGAGTATTTTCCTCAACGTGTTATAAAGATTAGAAAATTTTATAAAAATAAAGTGAAAAATAAATATAGTTCTTACACAGATGATAAGGATGTAGCATTTATCATTAATACTCGCATGACTAAAAATTCGTATCACCAAACTAGATTAGGTGCTAAAAACATGAGGCTGATATATATCCTTCGTATGATAGAGTTAAGTTAGCTAAAGATAGATGATAACCTGAAAATATTATTATAAGCGAAATAATTCCACTTTAGAGGCAAGGGAAAGTCAAAGGAAGATGCCCAAGAGGCAAGCAATAAAAACTATAATCGATTCAGAGTACATCATTCTCGAAAATCATAACGTATTTATACAAATACATATCTTTTTAATTTCTTATTAGTGTCATCTGATCTATTAGTTACGAGTTTAAGAACACAACTTAACAAATTAAAAACTAAATTACCTCCAGAAGCCATTAATTTACTTGATATCGAAAGCTCAGAACAGAAAGAAATAGAAACTTGTAACAGTAAAATAAGTAGTAGTTATTCTGAATTTTTTATTTTTATTAAGTTTTTTGTTATCCGATTAAGTATCAGATAAATTAAATATTTGAAAATAATGCATTTTTTTAAATTTCTTACATAAATGTTTATTGTTAAAAAATAAAATTATTTTGTTTGTCATATTATCTAACTTCATAATTTCAATGTTTACTTGCCTCAACTATATTTTCTAAACAGTTATCTATATCGAGATAAGTATTGAAGTAAGTTATTAAAATTAAAGTAAGAAAATGTTTGTGCATATTAAATCAATAAAAAAAATATTTATTTGTGAGTGTCGAACTTTGTTTGATAGGTGCTAATTTTTTGGCCAGCTAGAAATGCAATTCCTCCCACTGTGAGACGTCCACATTTTATGCTACTAAATTTGCTCTTTCTGCCAGTCACTCATGATTTGTATATTGTCTCTGTACATTGTGTAAATCAAAAAAAATTTGAGCCAAATCGGCCCAGCCGTTCTCAATTGATGAAATGTTATACATTTTTGGCTCCATTTATGTATATATATATAGATTAATAATAATTTAATTATGATATTCGAGTATTTTGCACAATTTTTATTTTTGTATTTTAATCGCCCTGTCAAATAGTAAATATCGGTGGCTTCTAATTCACTTCTCGCAGGCCTTTATGCACCATAAGCCATATAATATTATTATTAAACGTTTTATGCTGCACGAAAACTTAAACGAATAATTTTCGTTTCGTATTGTATTGTAACATCGAATACTGATATTCGAATGTTCGAATATTCTAATTATTTACGATATATTTATTCATATTCGAATATTCAAATATTCGAATAATTCCCATTACTAAAAAGGATGTCATCAACGGAAATATGATATTTAATACATAATAAATTTTGTGACAAAAAAAAATCAAACATTGTGAGTAAAGGTAATACCGATGCTAACATGTGTCGATGGTGGGTTGTATATATATATATATATATATATATATATATATATATATATATACACACAAATTTGTCGATTATTTTCTAAAACAAAATTCTAGAATTCTAATAATACTTAATGTATTGATGATTGACGACTATATAAATAGGTCATTCAATGTGGGGGGGGGACATTGTACCCTTAATGACGGCCCTATATATATATCGACCTTAACTATTTGCTGATTTGCTGAAGTACTTGTCGAAACAAAAATATCAAATATTCGCTATTATATACAGTTGAAAATTCCATTTTATACTTACCTTAATATCCAATAGATTTACTGTATGCATATAATATATTGCGTTTAATGTTCGATTCTATTTTGATTGGGTACAGACAAACCAGTGTTCCTGAGCTACATGGAAGGCGATCCTGTAGACTTATACGTTTTTGAATCAGATTCTGTTAATCTAACCTGTCAGAATTCTGCTGAACCAGCGGCCGACATGTCGTGGAGTTTCAACGATAAGCAGTTCACCAACCCATCAGACCACTACATTGTACGTATATATATAAATAATACAATAACAACAAATTAGGAAAGTTTACTCTGTAAGTGTTATTAATTTCTGTGTAACTAAACGCTCGTATTTTACAAACAATTTTTAACAAAAAAATATAATTTTATGCAAGATACATTAAAAATTCGATAAATTGTACATGCTTATGGGTAAAAACGTAAACTAATTGAATATCTTAAATTTCAAGTAAAGTTTTTATATTTTGGGCAATTATTTTCTAATATGGGCTGGTAAGAATCTTTATTAAACATACATATTTTTATATTTTTCAATTCTATTATTAACATTGTTTAATAACAGCAATCGTAACTATATACTGGTAGCCAAAGAATGGACCCACCAGAGGTATTTTTCTACATTTATACGAGTATATATATTTTGAAATCTAAAAAGATTATTTGAAATCTATATGTACGAAAATATCTTTCCTCGCACAATCCTATTGTTCAGTTCTAAGTAAAAGAAAATCTGCCCGGACCACAGTTTCTTAGCTTAGTTAAAGGATAAGAAGGGCGTATTATAGGCAATTTGCTTTCGGTTTATCGACGATTCTACAAACATCTCAACATATTGATCCATTAATAAACAACTATTGGCCTCAATTTTTATAACGTTCTAAATAGTGATGCGGTACCGAGGTTGGGTATTCCATACCGGGAGAGCACATTGTGAAGGTGTAAAATAATATAAAATAATAATCAATTGCACACGCACAGAGCGTAAAACCGCTTAATACTTCGCACGTATCATGGTATATATATATATATATATATGCATAAATCGTAAATCTTCTATCCGTAAAAGTATCACTCTTCCTCTCTCTCCCTGTTTGTGTACATAATTTCACCGCACAAAATACAAACGCAATCGCCATGTAGGGGGCGAAGACACGCACCACAACGTTTAACACGTCTGTATTTCAGTGCATGTGTCATCATAACACATTTTCTCACACGTGCAAACAATATACATATATATAATCACAGATATATGTAATGTATATATATATCTAATATTATAATATTGTGATTATGTTTGCATGCGCTCGTTTCAGGTGACGTTCAACCAACCGGTAAAACTGGGACTGTACACGTGCACGGCAGCTAACAGTCTGGGCAAAATCACCAGACGGTTCAACTTGATCGAGGGCTTCAAACCGAAAACGCCCACTGGTCTGTCGGTGGCGCGTATCGGCGACAACTACATCGAACTGCAAGTTGTGCCCGGCGACGAAGATGACAAGTTGATTGGCTACAGGGTCGAGTACGTGACGAGAGCCGTGGAGCCGGGTGGAAAGACTTTCGAAAGTTTTAACATGATGAACTTCAACACCACCGAAGGTACGTGTACGACAACAACTCTCCGTCCGACCGCGACCGTCGCCGAAATAAAATTATAATATACTGTAGCTATAGACAACACTGCATTGCGTGTGCTAGTGTGTAAATTATACCGGTGCAAGCCAATAGTATTATCGCGGTTAAAGGAGCGAACGCAAACTTTATGGAACTATATTTCATGGCCTCGCGGCCGTCCGCTGTAATTTGTCGACTGGCAAAAATATTTGCTTTGCTATACACTTTCATACGGTACAAAGAATATTACCACCATACCTGGAATCGGGATACTTCGCCGGTTTAGACATTTTTTTTTTTTTTTTTTTTAAAGTCCACCTCACAAATAAAAATAATAAATTTATATAGATATATATAAATGTGCATTTTTATGTTTATTTTCAATATGACATGATACATTCAACAAATTCGTTTAGTTTTGATTTACTATTAGATATATGTACATAACATTTAAACTGTGAACTATAGAATTCCAAAAAACAGTATGTTATAAAAATATTACTAAATCAAAATATGTATGAAATAAATACAAATAAAAATCGAAAACAATTTTAGTTTTCGTAATAATACTAATAACTATTAATATACATGCAGTATATATTTTGATAGATAATTATAAGCAAATATAATTAAAATACACGATATATTTTATTTTTACATTATTTTTATACATAGAAATATTTGTTTGTATAGTATTCTAATATTTGATTTGAGGTTTTCACTAGCGATATCGATATTGGGCTGAAAATTTAATAGATTGATGCACGGCAGCTCGAATAATAAATCGGGCAATCAGATTACACGATCGATAGACGATACAGTTTATCAATGCTCTATCATTTCAAAAACTTTTTAAGGAGTCTCTAGATATTTTTTTGTGACATCTTGCTTTCACATTTCTAATGAAAACGATTTTCATGAACTATAGTTATTAACATCACATATTATCAATTTATAATTAATTTACTGTCCACAACCTTCATTGTTAGTGACGTTTGTAAAGAATAAATGCAAGTTAACATTAACGAGATGCGACACAATGTATACAACACGAGTACAAAGTCACGAGTGACCAAATGAAAAAAATTATTACTAAGATACCAATCGAATTTTATTAAATTAAATCCGTTATAATTTATCGAGATCATTATATTTTTTCATACAACTACATAATACGTTAACAATGATAAATATTGACTCAATTTGTAGATTTCCGAATATATGATATTTTTGGTACAAGGATATGTACAATGGGCTAACTGATATTATGATAATAATAATTATTATCATAATTTGTAATTATTAATCTTGAGTTCTAATTTTGTATTATCGATATTTTATATAATTATATATATATTTTCTAGTCAAGAGATCAGCTTCTACAATGTATTAGATAAGTAAATTTATAAGATTTATATGCATGGTTGATATATTGGTTAGTGTTGACAGTATCAACGCTCCGTTTAATGGTGTACTAGTCCCTTTGTACGACGGGAGGCGTAATATTTTACAGATACTCTTAAAGTATAATTGTTTTGAAGTAAGATAATGTCAGAAAAATATTATTATTAATACATTCGGATATTGGACCATGGTTATTTTTCGTTCTGTAATGTATTGATTTTACCATTGTGTGTGTTTTTTTTTTCTTTTTTTTGCTGTGTATTCGAATAGAAGTAGTGCTCCAATCATCACAAAATAAGTAAAATACATAAAAAATTTGTTTTAATTTGTACTTTTAGGAAAGAAATTTTTGAATTTCTCAATAGTTTTTAGAATAATTTAAAAAACGCAGAACAAATTATGGAAAATTTAAAATTTCAAACAATATTCAATACATTTATTTCTAATAACCGTTTATTATTTTATCATGCATCATTTTATTTTAAGTCTATGTACATGAGTTCTACAATAACCTTACCGGAAGGATTACCCCAATTATCAAAAGTATAAAACATGTATGATTAAAAATGTTATCTCGTTAGTACTTTGAAAAGAGGTAATATTACAAATTTTCCAACAGTTTTCTTAAACATTACAAAGAAACAGACAAAAAGTTGTAGAATACGGCAAAATGTATGGTTTACCGGTTTTTGATTAAATTAAATCTTTACTTTTACCTTAAAAATTAATAATCGTAGAGTTATGTATTTTTCACTGAATTACAATATAAAACTATAATTATACCATTGTTTATTATTCATGGTATATTTTTTTATACTTAGAAATTAGATAAAAGATATTTTAAATTATTTCCTTTACAGCCAATAAAAAAAAAAAATTTGAATAGTCTTGAAAATGATTTATGAGCATAAAAATATTAAATTTTCACAAAATCAAATATTTCAATGAATCTTCATTAAGTATTAACAGTTCATAAGTTAAAGACATTTCGCATTTTCGAGCTATTTTAATGAAATTTGTGCTATTTAAAGGCTTTTAAATTTTTTAATTTTCCCAAATTTCATGTGACTTTTTTTTTTGTTTTTGGTTTGAAAGTTACATTATTTCAAAATCAACCTACCGTATTAAGAAATATTTTGTAAAGTATAATATTTAAATATACATATATATATATATATATATATATATATATATATATATAATACATTTTTATTAAATTAAAACAATATTTTATTTTATTAGCCAGAAAGCTCATTTATTTACATTTTACGAAATAAAATATAATTCCATTAAAAAAAAATATTGTTCCCTGTTTTTCATCTTTGAGAATCTTTTATATCAACCAGTACGTATGCTACAGAGTCAGCCCACATAAGCGATTTTGACCAATTTTCAAACGTAACAATGATTTTAATCTGCCGCACAAGTATAAAACAAATATTACATTTAAATAATTAAAATGTACTAGTTAACAAGATTCCCAATCCAACTAAATATATTAATCGCACTTCGTGTTTCCTTATTATAATAGAATACAAATATTCATTGGACTTCTACCAAAAAATCTTGTAAGATTAAATGTTACAGTAATATATTTGAAAATGATTCAATAATAAAGTAGATGTGAGTGCATGTGATTATACTAAGCAATTTTTGTAATAAGAAAAAATGTTTCACTACAAATCTTGTTTTACTTTTTCTTCTCCTTCATCTTTCTGCGAAACATTTGAGGTCGGTCACCCTTGTCCTAAACCTTCACTCGTTTCGATTTTATATCACTATAAATCTCTTATCAAAAAAAAATTTAAAAATAATAAATTTAAAAAAAAACACAAATATAAAACATTAGAAATCAAATGGCATGGCATACGCATTATTAGATGGCCCACGGAGAAAAGTGGTTTGAAAGAAACAATCTTATCGACAACGGATAACAATAGTAACTGCTATCGGCTCTTCAGTCGTTGGCCCAATGACTTCCCTCCCGATTTAAATATGACAATTACATTCCGTTGGTGGAAATCGGCACATTTCGGTGTTTTGTATAAATAATTACCATCTGACCACCGCATTGTTTCCAGGTCCGTTTGCGCTGGTCAACCTGAAACCCGACACCGAGTACACCACAAAGATATTGGCCAGGAACCGAGCAGGGTACAGCGAGTATACCGAGCCCATTGTGGTCCGGACTTTGCCGGTGATTATCAACAGCGGAGCACCGCCGACACTACTCGACGGGTTCGTAAGAAAGTGCTCGTTCGTGATCGTCGCCGCCGCCACCTTGTTCGCGGCCAGACTGTAAACCCCAAATCAGTTCTATCCATAGATCTATATAATTATAATACGTCATGCAGCTTCTGTATAGGTCCATTCGCGTACACCATCGACGTCGTATATACATATTATATATCATTATATAGATATTTACGATCTGTATAAGAACGCGACCACACGCATTCATAACAATATATTGTATATTTACATGTATGTAATTTATACATATATACATATATATTATATTCATAGATCCCAGGCGTTGTCAGTATTACCGGGGCATTCCCAATTCTGTACGACTCCAGACAATCGCTTATTTTTCTTTTCCTCTCGTATACGTCGTATTATTGTTGCTGCACGACGATAATAATATTATCCTAGTCCTTAACTTGTGTATAACAAACCGTAAACAGTTTTTTTTTTTTTTTTTAATCTGTGCGTGAAACAAATAGCCATCCCTATTACACCATCGTAATCGATACAAATTTAAATAGAGGTAATTCGACATTTTTCAGTCAATGGTTCAAAATATGGTAATAACGCCTGCTCATCAGAAAATATCATTTCCACAACTGTGCTTTCTTCATTACACTGTGTAGTTATTGAATTTATTTACCGCCATATGTTGGTCTTTTGAAATTACTTGATCATCATATTACCTACTCTCCGGCTAATGCGCATGTTTTCAAAATTATGCACATTTCTGATTTTTTAGGCTTTCAATAAACTAAATAAACTAATAGAAAAAAAAAACCGCATTTGCGTACATAATATATATATATTTACAAACAAAAACAATCTAAAGTAGTATTTAAGTACATCAAAGTTTTTGTGTGCATGCGCATGTGATATAGCCAAATCTTGTACAAATGGCTCTCCTAAAAAAGGGTTGAAATCGTGTACGATACGACGTGCATTACGAAAATTAAACCGCTCGCCACGAAGTTTGTATGATAAAATCTCATCCATCGGAGGCACGAAAATGATTACTCACAGGAACGAACATCGTGAAATCAGTTTGTACTTGACAAAAATATTTCACGATACGAGATTTCAATATTAATTTAAAGGTGGGCGCTCCCTATAGGATCATTTTTGTCCGCAGATTGTACTTTACTAACATTTTTTATTTGAACCAAAACACCGCGTAGTACGAAAAATTGAAAAGCCTGTAGATGGTGTTCACGGTGTATATTATTATTTGCGTATTAAAACATAATGGGTGCGTGCTCGAAACCATCGGGTTTTTGTCGCAATGTCCATTTGTCCGGAAAAGTTCTCGTCGTCGGCTCGGCGCGTGGCGGGTACGCATTATAATAATTCAACGAGTCCTTCACCACCACCGCCGCCGCCGCACTGCGCAAAATGATGCGAACACAAATATACATATATATGTGTTTATGTATATGTATGTGATGTAGGTATTACACGTGTTGTTTTGAAACACTTATAATAATAGTCGCGTAATTAATATTATTGTGAAATCAGTGTTATATTTTTTTATATTATTTTTTTATTTTTAATTTTTTGCAAACGACCGCCTCCTGCTATATTACATCCGCTGTTACCAACAATTTTGTTGATGTTAAATTTTATATTATTTTCTTCGCTGTACTTCCGCTACGTTTGAAAATCGAAAGAAAATTATCATCATTATTATGATGATTATAATATTTCCGAGTTTAAGGATTTACTACACCTAATTATTATTATTATTACTATATAAATTATAATATTATACTATTATATCATATTATATTATGTTATTGTAAATATCGAAATATTATAAACCGAATATTATATTTTACATGTACTATAGTTACGATTATACTATTATCTCTACATATATATTTATAAAATACATGTTTAGTGTATTAATAGGATTAAACATAAAATAATATATGTATATTTATGTACACTAATATATTACATAACTATTATTGTACTTTGTGTATTATGAAAAACCTTCTGCCCCACTGCATATAGTGTGCACAGCGTAGAGCAGTGATGTCAAACCTTTTTTTTCCTCGGCCAGCCACTTTGGTGAAAAATTATCGTAGAGCGAGTGACCAAATAGTAGGTTTACAGTACACATGTAGGCACATATTGTATTTGTTTTCAAATATTTTATTCATTACTGAAAATATGACAGATTGAGGTTCATGTTGTAGGTATTAGATATTAATATGATCAGTACAATCTTTTTAGAGCACGAGTTACATCGTCAAATTTAAAATGAAAATAAAATTAATAAAATTTTAAAAATTTTATAGTAAATATATTTATTTATAATATTTTGTTTTATTTAAAAAAAAATTGTAACTGGTCACATTGAATACCTTTGTACACTTTATTAACGTGGGAAAATGTTAATATTATTTTTACGACAACGTACATAAAATAATGCAATCTTTTAATACGTGTATTTCCAAACAACAACGAAATTATTGATAATTTCCATTACTCCGGTATATCTACATAATATTGTATTCACATACACGTGTTCAATTATCATAATTATTATTATTACGATTTTGTTCACGTCGTACACCGGTGCGTCGAGAAGGAAAATGGATGTACTACGCACTTTATAATAAATAAAAAATATGTTCGTGTGATGAAAAAAAAAACTCCATTTGGTACGAAATTGGCTTTTACAATTTTTTATATACTGTACAACATGGCCAGCCGGTGTTTGATTTAGTTCGGTATTTTTCCCTTATATTTTAACAGTTTAATAATAATAATAATAATAATACCGATAATAAAAGTGTGCATTGCAACAAATGACCGTTCTTGAAATGAAAAATTAAGAAAGCCGTTTTTACGACCCCGACAGATCCGACGTCCAATGATGCACGTCTCTGATTTTCTCATTCGACCGTATACAGTAAACGCACGTAACGTTTTCGATGGGCGGAGGTTGTCGACAACAATAACTTAATGTAGGTAAGTGGTACATGCATGTATGGAATATATTTAACGTTGCGAATATTTTATACCTCAAACACTTGAGCCGCTGGATGAAGAAATTGCATTTAACAGTGGCTTTTTCCGACTGGAAACGTAAGGTTCCGGCGCGTGTATATGAAACCGTGTTTGCCGACCTCGAAAAAACGGAAAATTCCATCGAACTATCCTTCTCCTGTTTGATTAATATAGAACCTAATACGCCAAACATCGCTCCGGAAACAAAAATATCATTTTACCCGATAACCGTTAATGCTGCAATTGATAAAATGAGGTTATTGAGCTGAAAATAAATATTACTAAATATTATAATATTACTGTTTTTTATTATATATTTATGACTGATATTTTACAACAGTATATATCACGCAACTCGCGTAAATGACCACCAGATTAGTTACTAGACACATATATATCTATAAATTATCCAAATTAAATACCTTGGTCTGTTATAGCCACCGCGCCCAAACTACCCGATAGGTATCCGAAAAATTACGACGATGGTCACAATAGATGAGTACCATCAAGTCGTTAATAAATTATAAAACGCTCAAAAAACAACTCGTTGTGATTGCGGCAGCGGTCGAGTTTAGAGTTAAAAACAACATATTCATTCAATAAGACTATCCTTTAGAAAAAAATTAAAAATTTTTAGGCGCGCATTGACCGTAAAGATTTGTTATAGAAAAATATAAACGCTCATGTTATAATTATCTTAAGGGTTATACACAACTCGTTCGTCCGCAGACAATACTAATTTTATAATCGCATTCAAACCCGTACACAATGTGTCTCACGTACATTACACCGTAATATGCATAGTCCTTTTCTTTTTTCTGTCTCACTTTCTCGTCTACCCTTGACTGTTTTCCGACAATGCACCCGTATTCATATGCATATACATAGTATAAATACATTTTTAACTCGAAATTCCTTTTAGTTACAACGTTTACGTGTATAGACATCCACGAGCTGAGTCAGCGGTTATTTATTTTCCACGCACTCGCCGGTATATTATATAACATTTTTCTGGGGTGTATCTCAATTTTAGATCCGTATAAAATAATAAAAATTCATCAGTTTATATAATGGATTTCTTGTAGAGAATTGATTCGTGGAGGTGATTGCCTCTAAACAAGAGTTTTTTTCATTTCATTCATCTGCGGTACGTCTAACATAACCTAACCCAATTATTTATTGAAATAATAGCGTAAAACTACATTTTTTTTTTTTTTACTTAATGGTTATATTTTGGTTTTTCATGTAAAATCTTATCGCTATCTAATGATTTATATTTTTAATTAATCAGTACACACAAGAAATATATTTTCTTCTTCTATAGATGTACATGTGATAAACAATACCTGTGAAGTTGGTCCTGATAACTTCATCCCGCGGTATTGTCTTCGGAATTGATATAAAGTTTTGAAAGGATTTGCAAGTTCATTTTTTACATTTTCAAATACAAACCATAATACGTATCGATATGTTTTGCAAAACAAAGTAGTTTTAATACAGCCCAGTAAAGTCCATCGAGAAAATCGTGATTTACAAAAGAACATATATAACTCTTACTTACAACTGTGATTTACACCGTATTTATGTTTAACAAGTAGGTATGTAATAAACATTATAATAATGAACACGTTTAAACATTGAATATTATCCTGTGATTGTGTTTATTTGTTGTATCAATCTACTGTGTTCGGTAGCGTGGATAATTTCTTCGGACATGTTTAGAAGTGGGGGGGTCTATTACATTTTTTTTTTTTATAAAAAGTAAGTATAATATAAAACCATTTACTATAAAATAACGTATTATAAATTAATAATATTCTAACATTTTTCATAAAACTTAAGTTTGAGGTTGGTTGTCTCTAAACAATAAAATTAATTTCTGTAATTTTAAGTTCAACATGCTAGTCTGTACTATATTGTGATTGCAATAGTTTTATCATTTTATCTTTTAAATATACTAATTGAACAAATAATGTGATAATTAAAAAGAAAGAGCTTTTCAAATGAGATATTTTCATTTGTTTCTTTTCACAAAAAAAAAACTAACAATAAAATTGTAATTCAATTCAGAAAAAAATTCTTTGTCCAGAATCCAATTACAATTACAAAGTCGTAAAAAAAAATGTCAAAATTTTAAGAAAAATAAGATTTTTTTTAATTCAAAATTATTAAATAATTATTAAATAAATATTATTATTAAATAATTATTATAATAAAACATTATTAAATAAATAGTACTAAATCTCTCTATATGAGTATATATTTGATATACCTACTAACTAACCAACGCCCAGATTAAACTGCTGTACTTTAGAGACTTTCATTATTGGTGAATAATATATATAATATGAATATATGTAATATTATTACTTATAACTATTATTTATGAATTTCAACTCTTTGAGGCACGTGAAGGGGTTGATTTACCACACCCAAAATTTAGTAATATTATTTTTACAGTATACTTAACAAAATTCCAAGCCCGCTTAGACAATATTTTACAAGTTCAAAAATAAGAATCATTATTTTCATTCTAACACTCCCCGAAAATGATTAAAAGGAAAACAAATATGTTTCTACGATTTATTGATGTTTTCAGAATTTTATTTTTATTTTAAGATATTGCACGTGAAAATTAAGTCAAAAAAGGTAATAACCGGCTTTTTAACATAAAATATAATTATTAAAATAAGGATAATAGTAATAAGCTCACCATAACACTTAATTCCATGGCAAAACTACTACTTACTAATTTATAATCATTAGAGTTAACTATTACTAAATTGTTGTAATTAAAATTAATTACTTATAAATAAATCTTACTCTAAATTACTTGATAATTATAATTTATTTAATTTAACTTTGCCACTAACTATTAACTAGAAAAATTGTTTGTATACGACCGTAATATAACTCCATCATCTCCGTCCTTTTTTAATCCGATCAGGTTTGTAATCAATCATCGTGTCTCGACGTTTAACGCGTAAAAAAAAAAAAAAAGATCGAAAAAAAAATAAAAATAATTCTCCAACATTAACACTACGAATACACTTTATGAAAAATCAAACTAACATATATTAGCCTATGTATTGTAAATTCGTAATAAACTAATTTCGTTTTGTTGATTTTATTTATACAACAAATACAATAAAATTATTTTTCTTTCCACTAAGTTCGTTCGTATTATTTATAAATTAACGGGGAATCACCCATGGAGTGGTTGTTTGAATACCTTGATGGTGTTCGAAAACCCCAAACATCCCCCTACGTGTATAAAATTATATCCATGTGTATTTAAATATGATCATACAGTATTGATTAAAATTGTACGGTGATGCTGTACACGGAAGCGTGACATGAATACGAATTTTTATTTTATCTCGATCCAAGGGCACACATGGAGTAAGGATTTAAATTAAAAAACGGTAAATTGACCGCTGCGTGAAATGTAATCACGGTCTTTTTTTTTCTTTTCGTTACGAAAATAGCAAACCAATTAATAAGTATATCATCTGGACAGCGCACATATAAACTCCGAAAAAAAGCATAAATACGTTAGTGGGTATTATTGCAAACGTGCGTAGAATCGCACGCGGATAATGGCCACCAACTCGCTCTCGAAAATTACGTACTCTTCCCGCGCAC